TAGGGTTTAGGGTTTAGGGGATTAATCCGTCTCAAGAAATTGGGGGGCCAAATAAAACTGAATAAGGTGTCGACAGGCTTTTGTTCATAGACGTCAGAGGTGGTTCTGAAGCGTGTTCAAGGTTTCGCCCGCATACAGGGGGGTTTCTGTTTCTCGAACGAAACACAGGGCTTGAGAGTTTAAGTTGCTCTGGCGCTGTTTTGACGAAAGGCTTTTGAGGGTTTAGGATGAGTTTAGGGTCCAAGGTCTCGTGTCACTTGCCGAGGCGAGTAGCGAAACGCACTGCAGGCAGCCAACATCTGTTGTTCTTCCGGCAATACAGCCTCGATACTCGCCATGCCCCGGCGTACGTTCTCCCGACCGAAGATATTGCTCACAACATCACAGGCATCGGTGGGCTAATCGTTCAAGAGCAAAGCCAGTGCCGGCGTGTACCCAATCTGCATCTATAGTTGTCGGAGAGCTGTGCAATGGTGAATGTCACGCTGACATCTTCGACATGCGTCTTTGAATCAGGCCATTATCCTGCCGACATGCTTTGCGTTTAGGCGATAAGCTCCAAGCTCCGGCCTCACAGCCGCTATGTCGGAAGTCGCTCCGATGTTCCTCCTATGTTTGGAGTGCTCTACGTACGTCAATAGCTCGGAAGATGAAGGTTGTCCAAAAGAAAAGACCCCAACAGGGGATGTATGAGCATTTAGGTGAGTGCTTATAGATGCGAATGTATGGGTTTGAGTGGTTCTATAGAAGCTCTTGTGGATGCTTCAAGAATTTGCATTTTTTTTCACAAGGGTTTTTTGCCAGTATCTGGCATGGGAATCAGAGTCTTCTATGTGGTGTTCTCCCGAAGGGTCTGCATCGGGTTGGGCAGCTTGCTGGGCTCTATTCTTTAGGACTTAGGGTTTAGGGTGTAGGATTGCTCTTGAAGGCTTGGCTACATTGGCGCTTCTATTTCCATTGAAAGCTTTGCCTTACGAATTGTCTAGACGGTTTCAGGGGCTTTGCTCATGCGTGCGCAGCTTAGTGAAACTCCAGAAACGCCGAAAGCAGCTTTTGAAGCGAGCTCGGTTAGGTTTAGGGCCGAGTCTAGGGTTCAGGTTCGGGGCCCAACGACCCAAAGCTATATGGGTAGTTCTCTAAAATAGGGCCCCTTTCTGGGTCCCCAATATAGTACGGCACCCTTATAAAACGGATCCCCAAAAGGGACCCTAATTTAGAGAAGTACCCATATGCGACTCCTGGATAACAGGAAACAGCTGCGTGAGACCCGTCCAGGCTCCAAGGCCTGAATCGAAAACCCTGAAACCTGAACCCCTTTAAACCCTCCTTTTCAAGCCCTCCCACCGGCCGGAAAAAACGAGGGAGATCCTACCTGGGTGGTTTGATGTTCTTGGGTTCTACATACAACTAGAAAGTGCCTAAGCCCTAAGCCCTAAGCCCTAAGCCCTAAGCCCTAAGCCCTAAGCCCTAAGCCCTAAGCCCTAAGCCCTAAACCCTAAACCCTAAACTTGGGTTCTACCATACAACTAACAACCTAAACCCTAAACCCTAAATAACCCTAAACCCTGAGCCCTGAACCCTAAAAAGTGCCCCTTCGGCCTTGAAGATGCTGCTCTCCGACTTCAACAGCCTCTCTGCGCGGCCACCGGGCTTCCAGGTATCAGGCTCGTCCTTCGAGGTGACTACTCTATGGGTATGGGTTTAGGGCGTAGGGCTTATAGAGTTTAGGGTTTAGGGTTTAGGGTTTAGGGCTTAAGGCTTATATGGTTTAGGGTTTAGGGCTTATAGGGGTTTGGGCTTAGGGCTTAAGGCTTGTAAGGTTTACGGTTTAGGGCTTAAGGGTTATAGGGTTTAGGGTGTAGGGTTGCTGCAAGGACTAATTACTGTAGGAAACTTATGAAGGGTTAGTAGAACGGATCTACTAAGGGCTTTTCGATACTGGGTTACTGTGACACGCTTCGTTCTTGGAGGGTTCTGTGCTGGGTTCTCCATCGATTCTCTACTTTACGTGTTCCGAGGGTTCCTGTAAGGGCCCCAGATGTGTTGTTTTTTGATTCAGAAGTTTCTTCTTTTAAGGATTCAGTCGGCCTCGGGTTAGGGTGCAGAGTCAACAAGAACTTGAACCCCCTGACGAAATCCATCTTCAACCCTGACAGAACCCGTGTAGAATCTCAAAACCATCTATCGAACCCCACATCTGTCGCCTGGCGAATCCTTTGCTGCTGCACTCAGGCTCCTTGCTTGCCAGCACCAGCTGGGGGACGTTGATCCCGGACAAAAGCGCCTCCTTCAGGACTGTCACACGGCTCGAAGAGGGTTGGAAGTCTTCTTAACGGATGTGGTGGGGGCTCAGGGTCTAAACCCCTGTCTCTAGGCCCCACCTAAACCGCGAACCCAGAACGCGTGCGGTAAACGGAACGCCTACCGTTTTGGGGCTCAGAGAAATGAGGCTCAGGGGAATCGGGCTCAGTGTTCCGAGCTTAGGGTGTAGGGGTTAGGGCTTAGGGCTTCGGATTTAGGGCGTACGGGTTTAGCGTTCAGGGCTTAGGGTTTGAGGTGTCGGTGTAGGGCTTACGGTTTAGGGGGATCAGGTTTCTGGTGTGGCTTTGTGTCACTCACCCAACAGACCATACACTCTTTCTCACATGTAAGACCTAATTGATTCTGCCCTCTGCGGAAGACCCGTACGTCATGCAAAATCCCATGTAAACACCCACAGAACCCTCATAAACCCTAAACCCCAAACCCTAAACTCCAAACCCTAAACCCTAAACTCTAAACCCTAAACCCTAAGCCCTATAACTCTGAACACCCTGCCAGCCCGATAAACGCCCGGGGGAAGACCCGCGCGACCGCCTCGTCTTCGCCCCAGCGCAGCGTCAAATTGTGTATGCTGGGGTGCCTAGGTTAGGGTTCTAGGGTTTAAGGCTTTGGGTTTAGGGTTTTGGGTGTAGGGCTTACGATTTAGGGTTTAGGGCTTTGGGTTAAGGGTTTATAGGGCTTAGGGCTTAGGGTTTCGAGCTGAGGGTTGAGGGCGTAGGGTTTAGGGGTGCCTAACATGCGAGGCGCGGGACCCTTAGCCCTCAGCCCTGGCTTAAGGTAAAAGTATCCTATAAGCTCCATGACCTCTTACACTAGGGCTTATAGGGCTTATAGGGTTTAGGGTTTAGGGGTTAGAGTTTAGGGTTTAGGGTTTAAGGCTTAAGGACTATAAGAGGTTCTATATGGAAGATAGGATTCGGGGGACCCTTGGAGATATTAGACCCTCTCAAGAAGGACCCTTTTTCAGAGAGCCAGAAGTAGGGTTAAGAAGGGTCCCCTTTATTCAAGGGGTCTCCCTTATAATACCTAGGACTATAGGGGTGGTTGATTTGATTGGCCTTTATGGAGCAACGAACGCCTCCTTCACTTCGAGCGGCACATCAAGTCGCGTAATCTTTGGCCTGAAGCAGATGCAACAGGAAATGTGTGTTGCAAGGCATGCTTCAGCATGCTGGCTAAGATCATGGCGGTTGGAGGAGCATGGTATGGTGCCCATAATGGATGAGGCTGTTGCGCAGCACCACAACGTCGCTGCAGGCCGCATTCTGCCAGTCAACAATGTCTGCCTCGCACCCAGCACCCTCATCCCTCATGCCCATTGACGACACCCTCCACATGAATACAAAATCGGTGTGGATGGTTTCATTGGAAGCCTACGGGTCGCGCCGACCGTTCTCGGTGTCAGTTGCTCAACAAAAGCCGCTGGGCGCTTGGAGTCTCAGAATATTACAGGTGCCATCACGTGCCTTGCCACGCCCTCGCGGCCTCCCCGTGAAGACGCCAAGCAAGCCATGCACAGGGGTCTGAGACTACAGCTATAGTCACAGTTTCAGTGCCACGCACCTCAAATTTCTGTGGCAAACACTTTCGCTTACAACATCTTGTAATCCAGCTGCCTCCATTTCTTCAAAAGGCCCTCCTGCACAGCACGAGCCTGAAGAGATACCGAGAGACTGCTGCTTTTGCCGACTGTAACACTCTGAAGAGAAGACCTGTGGAGTCCATTGCTGGAGCGCCGACCTGTATGGCCCGTATGGCACTGCTCTTAGCACTGCATGGAATGTGCTGACTCGGGTCACTAGTGTTCACTCAGCATGGGAATCGTTTGACACTGCATAGCCTCGCTGCTTGCAATGGGGCACTCGCGTAGAACAGGCAGCAGATGGGTGAGCACTGGCGCGGTCAGAACACCGAGGTGCAGGCAGGCCATGCTGGCCATTCAGGAAACGTGGGAAGGGTCGCGGGGACGGCGCCTTATGATCTCTGCAACACTTAGATAATGCATAGGCCCTACATACACAATGCGACACACAAATAAAGACCAGTGTTCGTCACCCCAAGCGCAGCAAATAGCTCCCAGTCTCTGGGAGAAAGACCGTCTGAGGACTCACATGGTGACTGCAGTGACTGTGGATTGGCACTTGAGCGGGAAGCTACGGACAACAAAAGCCAGGCAGTTCGCAAGCATGGCAATAGAGAAGTAGGAGGCGGGGCGCTTGATGCAGCCATCAAGCATGCCTTACCTTGCAAGCGAAGCTGCGTCAACCACTGCATGAGTGGCGCTGTTAGTAAACCGATCCTCTTTCATGGCAAGTATTGAAATCCTGTGAACTTGACCCCTCCCCACCCCTCTCAACTTTAAAAACAGTAAGTCAATGCCGTTCCCCTGCGGTAACGAAGATGATGCTGCTGCCGGAGAAGATAATGACGACCTCTGGTGCGATGACCAGGTGCTGGGCATGGTCGTCAAAATGACTCAGAGCATGACAGCGCGGACACGATGAGGCGAATGGTGAGGATTCTGGAGATGGTGATCCTCGTTGATGAGGATGAGGACTACGATCGTTTTTGGTGTCAGTTGCTCAACAAAAGCCGCTGGGCGCTTGAAGTCTGAGGATATTACAGGTGCCATCATGTGCATTGCCACGCCCTCGCGGCCTGCCCCGTGAAGACGCCAAGCAAGCCATGCAAAGGGGTCTGAGACTACAGCTATAGTCACAGTTTCACCACGCACCCCAAATTTCTGTGGCAAACACTTTCGCTTACAACATCTTGCAATCCAGCTGCCTCCATTTCTTCAAAAGGCCCTCCTGCACAGCACGAGCCTGAAGAGATACCGAGAGACTGCTGCTTTTGCCGACTGTAACACTCTGAAGAGAAGACCTGTGGAGTCCATTGCTGGAGCGCCGACCTGTATGGCCCGTATGGCACTGCTCTTAGCACTGCATGGAATGTGCTGACTCGGGTCACTAGTGTTCACTCAGCATGGGAATCGTTTGACACTGCATAGCCTCGCTGCTTGCAATGGGGCACTCGCGTAGAACAGGCAGCAGATGGGTGAGCACCGGCGCGGTCAGAACACCGAGGTGCAGGCAGGCCATGGTGGCCAGTCAGGAAACGTGGGACGGGTCGCGGGGACGGCGCCTGATGATCTCTGCAACACTTAGATAATGCAAGATGCAAAAGAAGAGCACATGCCATGGTCGCATGGTCTGCTATAGGCCCTACATACACAATGCGACACACAAATAAAGACCAGTGTTCGTCACCCCAAGCGCAGCAAATAGCTCCCAGTCTCTGGGAGAAAAACCGTCTGAGGACTCACATGGTGACTGCAGTGACTGTGGATTGGCTAAACCCTAAACCCTAAACCCTAAACCCTAAACCCTAAACCCTAAACCCTATACCCTAAACCCTAAACCGACAACAAACGCGCGAGTTACTTCTGGAGGGGCTGAGGCTTCGGTGCTCCGGCGACTCCAAGGCATCTCGGTTTAGGGGCTTTTTGGGGGTTTCGGGTCTAGTATCTATAGGGTCTAAGGACTGCAACCCTAAACCCTAAACCCTAAACCCTAAACCCTAAACCCTAAACCCTAAACCCTAAACCCTAAACCCTAAACCCTAAACCCTAAACCCTGCACCTTACCACTCCAGAAGGACCCCTCCAGAACTTATGGCGTGCTGCTCATGTTCAGGGAGTTCGGAGCTCGCGGGCTCCTGAGCCCTGGGCCAACCCCTAAACCCTAAACCCCAAACCCGCAACGCTCATCAACTTTCAGGGTTTGGAGTTTGGAGTTTAGGGTTTAGGGGTTTAGGGGTTTGGGGGTTTAGGGGTTTAGGGGTTTGGGTGTTTGGGGGTTTAGGGTTCAGGGGTTTAGGGCTTCGGGAAGGAATCCTCATGGAACAATCTGCGCCTTTCCAAAGTCCAACAACCAATAATTGACTAATAAACGCCCGCGTCTTCAAAGGAATAGACTACTGGGACTCTGAACATAACCTTAAGACCTCGTAAACAGAGGGGGTTTAGTACTCAGTAGCCGGCACCATGTACCCTCAGCCACAAGGAATCGAAACCCGAACCCGAAGCCTAGAACCGAAACCCAAGCTCAACAAGAGACCGTCTCGACCCTTATACCCTAAACCCGAAACCCTAAGACGTAAGACCCTGAACTCCAAACCCTAAACCCTAATCCCCTAAACCCTAAACCCGAAACCCTAAGACCGAAAGACCCTGAACTCTAAACCCGAAACCCTAATCCCCTAAACCCTAAACCCGAAACCCTAAGACCTCAAGACCCTGAACTCCAAACCCGTTAAACCCTAATCCCCTAAACCCCAAACCCGAAACCCTAAGACCGAAAGACCCTGAACTCTAAACCCTAAATCCTAATCCCTTAAAGCCTAAACCCGAAACCCTAAGATCTCAAGACCCTGAACTCTAAACCCTAAATCCTGTCAGCTCGGAACCCTTACAGACCCCTCACAGGAACCCCAAAAACGGAACCTGTAGGAAGGCCCTAAAACCCGAAAGCTAGGGGCCTCAATAGTTAGAATAGGGTTTTGGGGCATATTTTTCTAGTTAGAATAAGGAACCCCCCCCCAAAAAAAAAAAAGTATAGGTAATCATCTAGGCCCCTATGTTGAACCCCGAAAGCCCTTAACGCCGCCAGGGCGGCGCCATGGCGCCGCAGCGGAAGCCAAAGCGGGCGCAGCCATGAGCTACCACCCAGGCGCCTTCGACGGCTTAGGGGTTGAGGGTTTAGGGTTTAGCGGTTATAAGGCTACCTGTAGCCCCAGAAGCCTATATACCTCTGGTTTAGCGTTTCAGGCATTTGGGTTTGGCCGGTTTCAGGACTTTTCTACAGGTGGTACTATGTACTTGTTGGGTTCATTTTTCGTGCCAGGCTTCTTGGGCATGTCAAGAATTGAAAAAGCAAGCCTATTTTTCAAGGTCGAGGCAAACCGTACATCCTAAACACTCTGAAAGACCTTTCTGCATCTCTGAAACCTAAACCCTCATCTCTAAACCCTGAACCCTAAACCCTAAACCCCGAACCCTAAACCCTGAACCCTCAACCCTAAACCCTAAACCGCTCTTTTGGTCCAGGTATGGCTTGGAGACCCTATAACCCCCAAGCCCTCAACCAGGCACCTAAACCGCAAACCCAGACTCCAAAACCCCCTAATTGCAAACCCCACGGTAATGGCTAGAACAGGGTTTAGGGTTTAGGGTTTCATGTTTTAGGGTTTAGGGTTTAGGGCTTTATGATTAAGGGTTTGGGGGTTTAGGGTTTTGGGTTTTAGGATTTATTCGGGTTTAGGGCTTTATGATTTAGGAGTCATAGGGTTTAGGGTTTAGGGTGCTAGAACACCCCATGCAAGACCTTAGCCTTCGGTAGAGCCCATCGCAAGGAGAGCAAGAACCTGAAACATGAACTTGAGCAAGAACCATGTCTTCAGGTCTTAGGGTTTAGGGGTTTAGGGTTTAAGGGTTTAGGGTTTAGGGGTTTAGGGTTTAGGGCTTAGGGTTTAAGGTTTAGGGTTCAGTGTCTTAAGAAGAGTAACAAAGAACAAGTTCACATACCCACCCTAAGCCCAAACCCCTATAAACCCTAAACCCTAAACTCTAAACCCCAATTAAGCCCTAAACCCTAAACTCTAAACCCTAAACCCCGCTTAAGCCCTAAACCAAAAACCCTAAGCCCTAAACCCTAAACTCCAAGACCCGCAACGCTTAACCCAGGACCCTCTCGTCCCAAAAGGGGAAGCCCCAAGACCCAAAACCCCAACACCACAATACAAAAACCATAACATCTACAGTGTTTAGGCTGTGTAGGAGTTTGGGTTTGGGGTTTAGGGTCCCGAACCCTAGACCCCAAGACCCCGAACCCTGGACACCAAGAACCTAAACCCCGAGACCCCATATCCCTCAACTTAAACGGCCAAGTCTTCAACACTTACCGGTTTAGGGTTTAGGGTCAAAAAAGCTCTCAAGCCCACTTCGTCTGATCCTGCCAAGGGTCCCCAGCAGAAGCCAAGGACGCCGGCGTTGTCCACACACCCTGGGAAGTTGCTAACGGTTGGGGGTAAGGTTTAGCAGCTTGGGTTTAGGGGGTTTGGACGTTTAGCTATGGTGGACACTCCTGTTTCCCGTGTTTAGGGTTGGCAGTCTGGGGCTGGAGGGCTTCACCCAGAAGTTTCATACTTTTAACAGGAAATTGTGTTGTGGGCTTCAAAATGTTACTACAGCAGCTTGCTTTGATCGCGGTGTTGAAGGGTTGTACCTGGGTTCAATTGCGAGTTTCTGGCTCCCCCCCTAAAACCCTAAACCCTACACTTTAGCCCCTAAGCGCTAAACCCCTAAACCCTACACCTTAAACCCTAAACCCTAAACCCTAAACCCTAAACCCTAAAACCCTAAACCCTAAACCCTAAACCCTAAACCCTAAACCCTACACCTTAGCCCCTAAACCCGAACAAAGTTGGTGCCTTTCAGTCAAAGGCGTCTTGGTGCTTTTGGGTCTCAAGTAAAGTAACTTCAAGAAGCCGAGGCCCTAGGTCTTTCACGGACCTCAACAAGTAGACTAGGGTTTTAATAGGGTTTAGGGTTTAGGGGTTTAGGGTTTAGGGTTTAGGGTTTAGGCTTTGGGGTTTAGCATTCCTCGCATACTCAGATTCAGGACTCCGGAAGAATCGTCTTAGCTGTTGAGCTGCAGGGCTCGGTTCTATTAGCATAAACCCTACACCCTAAACCCTAAACCCTAAACCCTAAACCCCTAAACCCTAAACCCTAAACCCTACACCCTAAACCCTAAATATTAGGGCCTCTAAGGAACAGTACCTGAAATCACCCTTCGCCCGAAGCTCGGAAGCCCCATGCTCGATTTTCGGTGCTACAGGAGACGCGCTCAACGCTGCCAGGGCTTGTGGCTCGAGGTTTACCGGCCGTTTTGGGCTTAGGGATTTGGGGTTTCGGGCTTAGGATCTAGGGCTTACCTAAACCCTGAAAAGTCGGTGAAATAATGGCCCAAGACCTACAAAAGGCCATTATTTTACATACTTTCGGGGTTTAGGTAGGGCTCATCCTTGAAGCCCAGTACCCTGGCCCAAAAACGTTTAAACTTGTCTTTTAGTAGGGGGTTTAATATACCAAAAAGTTTAAAGTTTACCTACTGGGCTCCTAAGTCATGGACGGCAGCATGACTCAACCTGTCCGCAGAAGCCGCCTTGCTCCTCCAAGAATGGGAGCACGCTCACCTGCAGCAAAGTGGGCACAAGCATCCACCCCAACCTGGCAGCGCAAGACCCTAAGCCACCAAATCAAAAGCTGTAAACATGCACCTCATATAGAACCCTAACCCCATACCCCTAAACCCCTTAAGCCTAAACCCATCCAGATGGTAGAACGCCTAAATCAAGCTTACCTTTGATTCAGGCTCCGGTTTTAAGGCCTCTGGGTTTTAGAGTTTGAGGCATGCGAAGCCCCAAACTTCCTAGAGACTCCAATACCCCTTAATTAAGGAATATACCTTAAATTATGGCAGGATCCCGAATATGATTTAAAGTATATTCCTTAATTCAGGGGTATTGGAGTCTTTGGGTTCGTACGGGCCCCATACCCCCTTGGATCCTTGACTCTGAACTTCGAAGCAGGCAGTCGAAAAAGGGTTTAGGGACTCGGGAATAGGGATTTGGGGTTTAGGGGTTTGGGGGTTCAGAGTTTAGGGACTCGGGTTTAGGGTTTGGGGTTTAGGGGTTTAGGGGTTCAGGGTTTAGGGACTCGGGTTTAGGGATTAGGGATTGGGGTCGAGGGGTTTAGGGGTTTAGGGATTAGGGACTCGGGTTTAGGGTTTAGCAATTAGGGATTCGGGGTTAAGGTGTTTAGGGATTAGGGGTTTAGGGTTTAAGGGTTATAGGGATTAGGGTTTAGGGTTTACATTCAGGGTTTAGGGTTTAGGAAACCTCGAAAACTCAAACTCTTGGAAGGCTGGACACTCCTCCAGGACCCGCCTATACTAAGCCCCCCTAAACCCTAAACCCCCGAAACCTTAAACCCTCGCCCTCACCCTTTCCGGTTGCCTCCAGGTCTTGCTCTACATCCGCCCACGGAGTATTCAGGGGCGTGAGCACCGTTGGCGCCTGTCAGGAAGGATTTTTGGTCTAGGCTCAAGGGTTTAGGGCTCAAGGGTTTCGGGTTCAGGGTTCAGGGTTTAGGGTTTCAGGGTTTAGGGCTCAAGGGTTTAGGGTTTAGGGATTAGGGATTTGGGGTTTAGGGGTTTGGGTTTAGGGTTTAGGGGTTAGCGTTTAGGGTTTAGGGGTTAGGGGTTAGGGTTTAGAGTTTAGAGGTTAGCGTTTAGGGTTTAGTGTAAGGTTTAGAGTTTTAAGGTTTGGGGTTTAGGGTTTAGGGGTTAGCGTTTAGGGTTTAGGGTTCAGGGTTCAGGGTTCAGGGTTCAGGGTTCAGGGGTTTGGATTTACGGCTTGGGACCTGAAATCCCTCTTTAGCTAAGCCTAAGGCTCCATGTGCCCATATAGTAGATACTTAGGCCTTTAAGTACCTATATAGGGACCCCTTTAAGGCTTAAGTATCTACTATATGGGTACATGGAGCCTTTAGCTAAGCGTGTTGCTTGAGTAGCGGAGCCACTCGGAGCCGACCGCACTTTCGATCGTAGGGCAAAACATGACTTCGTGGCATCTACTTCGAGAACTACTCTGATGAGACAAGCATTATGTCGAGTTTACAAAAGCGACTTTTTGAAAAGCCTGTTACCATAAACCCTAAACTTAAACCCTAAACCCGAAGCCCTAAACCCGTAAACCCCTAAACCCTCGAACCTGAAACTTCATATGAGTTGGAGCCTTGCCATTCAGAGCGGCTCGACCAGATTATGCGCTTGTGGCGTTCACAGGGATGTGTTAGGCTTAAGGCAGGAATATGTTGTAGGCTTCCGGGGTTGGAGGGTCCAGTGGTGCAGGGTGCCGGGATTAATATAGTGGCCTTAATAACTAGAATAGGGTTTTGGTGTATATTATATACCATAACTATAATAAGGGACCCCCCCAAACTAGTACAGGTAACTATTTAAGCCCCTATGTTAGGGTGTTGGCATGAGTTGCACGAGGATCTTAGGTTCAGGGCGTAGGGCTTTGCGTTCTAAACTACAAGGGAGTTCCCTCTCGTGCCGTGTTGTCCTGCTGCTGGATCTTCTTCAGCTGCAAGGCAGGCTTCTGCTGCTGCTTCTCGAGCGCCGAGGCCGCCTTGCCCTGGTCCTGCCCTGCTTCTTGCCCCGCTTGCCGGGTCCGTGGCCTTCATCGCGGCTTTGCTCTTCCTGAGCTCGGCTACTCTTTTTAGCCAGCTTCGGGGCAGCTGTCTCCACAGCAACCAGCGCAAGCTGGCAGGGCTCCTGCACAGTGCCAGGGGCGGCCCCGGAAGCTGGAGGGTCTCCTGCCTGCAGCAGAAACCGAGCGGAAGCTGGAGTGTCCTCGGGGCCACGAATTCGCAGGGACTCCTGGAGCACGGGCTTTTCCGAAGCCGGAGAAACTCGTGGAGCACAGGCTTTTCCGGAAGCTGGAGAGCCTGCTGCAGCACAGGCTTCCCAAAGACTCCAATACCCCTTAAATCATATTAGGGATCCCACCATAATTTAAGGTATATTCCTTAATTAAGGGGTGTTGGAGTCTCTGGGTTGTCCGGCAAGGGCTTGTCGGCAACCTGCAAGGTCTGCGAAGCCTGCAGAGGCCCCGGCTGCACAGAGGCCGGCCTCGCAGAGGAAGCTGCTGGCAGGTCTGTCAGGGCTTGCGCCATAATCTTTACGAGACCCCTCGAGTTCTTTTGTTAAACCTAACCTGCAGCACTAAAGCACTGAAAACCTCCACCATCGGCCTGTTTACCGCTCCTGCCGCCAATTGGCACTTCTAGTGCCGCAGCACTGACAAACATGTTTGCACGCTGCAAACACTTACAAGCATCATTGTCATCACTGTTGCGATGACTGTCACTACTCATGACACTGGTGCCGACGTGCATAAAGCTGCTGGCGCGATTGACAGTGTAGTGGTGATGATCATCATGGTTGGAAGATCATGGTGAAGAAGACGATGGGAAGATGAAGGTGAAAATGCAAATGATGGTGATGACGATGACGGTGACGATGACGATGACGATGAGGATGGTGGTGGTGGGGGTTGTGGGGGTCATGGGCGTGGTGGGGCTGGTGGGTCTGGTGGGGCTGGTGGGGGGTTGGTTGTGGCTATCGCCTTTGATTCATTGCTGCCACCACAGTACCTGCTGCGGCTGCGATGACGACGACTTGACGATGGCCACCATGACTAGTCTTGTGGCTGCTTTTCTTGCTAGGCTGGCAGTGGGTGCCGAAATACATGAACCGGTCCAGAGAATCCAAGTAGCGATACGTAGCACGCCTTTTTGACCAAAACATCTGCTATATTGGTACTTCGAGCCATTGTCCTAAGGCCTGTAAAGCCTAAACTCCAAACCCTGTACCGAGCCCGTGTACCCTGAACGCCTTCTTCCCTGCGTACTCCCAAAACCCTAAACCCTAAACCCTGAACCCTGAACCCTAAACCCTAAACCCTCTAAACCCGAAAAAGCGACCCTGTACCGGGCTCCACGAAGACGGCCTGGCGCAGCATCTCCCAGAAACCTGGATCGGAACCCACGTCCTGAAACCTCGGCAAGGTAGCCAAACACTGGAGGGAAGGCAAGCACTTTGGGATTGGGTTTAGGGTTTAGGGTTTAAGGATTAGGGTTTAGGGTTGTGGTTTAGGGTTTAGATTCGGGATTAGGGATTAACGGTCCGGCGGTTTAGGTGTTTAGGGTTTTGGGATGAGGGAGGATGGCTATAGGTTTTGGATCCACTTAACTTGGTGCTCTTAATTTGGTGGGTCCCTACAGCTTATTACAGCAGAAGCCCCAAACTTGGAAACCCAATAGCCTCCATCCTTAAGAGAAATGTCTATTTAATCCCAGCACTATTTGTCCTAAATCCGGTTTCCAACTTTTTGGGGTTTACGAAAACCCTAAACCCTAAACCCTAAACCCAAAACCCCAAAACCCCTAAACCCTAAACCCGAAACCCCTAAACCCTAAACCCTAAACCCCATCCGGTTTCCAACTTTTTGGGGTGTTACAATAAGGTCTTCTGGTCGGCCTAAGGCTGCCCTTGATGGGAACTTTAAAGAAGAGGGTTTAGGGTTTAGGGTTTAGGATTTCAAGGTTCGGCTCTAAGGGGGTTGGAGGTCCTACAAGGGGTCTCTCCATGAATCGAATTCGGGTTGGGGTTTGGTGTATTTTGTAGGGGTTAAGGATTCGGGGTATGGTTTACATGGACCATAAGAGGATATTGCTAGTATGCATGTTTCGGACCCCTAACGGTTCATCATGACATCAAACACGCCCCCTTTTTTGGCGATAACGGTTCATCCTATATCTTAAACATGCCCCCACATTTGGCGACAACGGTTCATTCTATATCTTAAACCCGCGCGCCCTCATTTGGCGATGTCGGCTACACCGGTTCATCATATATCTTAAACACGCCCCCTCACTGGGCGATTCCGGCTCACTAGATTGACTAGATGTTTTAAACACGCCCTCCTCTTTTGGCGATTCCGGCTCCTCATACATGCTCAACACGCCCCTCATTTGGCGATTCCGGCTCACCATAATCATATCTTAGACACGCGTCCTTCTGGTACACCACATATCTTTAACACGCCACCCCTTTCTTTGGTGATTCCGGTTCATCATATATCTTGAACACGCCCCCTGGTTCAACGATAACGGTTCATCACATATCTTAAACACGCCCCCCTCATTTGGCGATAACGGTTCATCACGTATTATATGTTAAACACGCTCCCTTATTTTGGCGATTCCGGCTCATCCTATATGTTAAGCTGCCACATTAGGCGACAACATTTCATCATATATCTTAATCATGCCGCCCCCTTTTATGGTGACTCCGGTACATCATAAATCTTAAACATGCCCCTCATTTGACGACACCAATTCATCATGTATCTTAAACACGCCCCTCACTTGGCGATTCCGGTTCACCATATGTCTTAAACACGCGACTGACTGACTGACTGACTGACTGCCTGACTGACCGCTCTTCTTCAGACGACCGAATGCGACTGACTGACTGACTGACTGACCGCTCGGTCGGCGACCCACTTTGACTGACTGGACGCTTTTCTTTGGACGACCGAATGACTGACTGACTGACCGCCCCGTTGGCCCACCGACTGACTGACTGACTGACCGACTTATGCACTCACTCACGTACCCACAGAACCGAAAACCAAAAAATACCACAAACAAGTACAAACCCCCACCCCTTCTTTCGTCCAGGCCGACTGGGAAGCTTTCTTCGAGAGTTGTCCTGAAGCACTCGAGCACCGTAGACGAAGCTCAGGTCTCTTCAGTCAGTGGGATCTTGGGAACCTTGCCTTCGCTAGGTGTTGTTTTAAGGGTTTAGGGTTTAGGGTTTAGGGTTTAGGGTTTAGGGGATGCTTTGCTCGCAGGGTCCTGCACATGTTGCCCAAGGGCCCAAGGCTGATTAGCGCTTCGAGGCCGTGTCATCGATGTGATTGTGCCAATCTTGAGCGCTGATGCGAGCACTGGTAGGAGAGTTGCTATCTATTCCTGAGCTGGTCCTGAACAGCACTACTGTCGCCGCCACGGTCAGCATCACCCCAGGTCACGACGGATCCATCGCCAAGAATGGCAGCAAAAGCGTGGTCAGAGGCTTGGATCTGTTGCACATTTTTCAGCTGATCCTTCACGGCAGTGCTGTCTCCACCATACTCCGCACCACCCCAGGTGACAATTGATCCATCATCAAGAATCGCAGCGAAAGCCCCGAGCGAGGCTTGAATCTGCTGCACATTCAGAAGCTGCCTCTGCACAGCGCTACTGTCGCCACCTGCCCATGGAGCACCCCACGTCACGACGGATCCATCGCCCAAAATGGCAGCAAAAGCGCAGTCAGAGGATTGGATCTGCTGCACATGCTTCAGTTGACCCTGCAAAGCGCTGCTGTCGGCACCGTACTCAGCATCACCCCAGCTCACGACGGTTCCGTCGCCAAGAATGGCGGCAAAAGCTCGGCGAGAGGCTTGGATGTGCTGCACATGTTTCAAATGCTGCTGCACAGCACTACTGTCGCCGCCAGTGGAAGCATTTCCCCATGTCACAACGTTTCCGTTGCCAAGAATGGCAGCAAAAGCTTCCATAGATGCTTGGATCTGCTGCACATGCTTCAGCTGGCCCTCCACAGCGCTACTGTCGCCACCTGCCCATGGAGCACCCCACGTCACGACGGATCCATCGCCCAAAATGGCAGCAAAAGCGCAGTCAGAGGATTGGATCTGCTGCACATGCTTCAGTTGACCCTGCAAAGCGCTGCTGTCGGCACCATCGCTATCACTACCCCAAGTCACGACCGATCCATCGCCAAGAATAGCAGCAAAAGCGCCGGCAGAGGCTTGGATCCGCTGCACATTCTTCAGCTGATCCTGCACAGCACTGCTGTCTCCACCACACTCCGCACCACCCCAGGTCACAACCGATCCATCGCCAATAAGCGCCGCAAAAGCACCGCCAGAGGATTGGATCTGCTGTACATTTTTCAGCTGACCTTGCACAGCACTACTGTCGCCACCACCGTCACCACCACCCCAGGTCGCCACCGATCCATCGCCCAGAATGGCCGCAAAAGCGTTGAAAGAAGCTTGAGCTTGAACCGTCTTGCGCAACAAGGTCAGGGAGTCACCATTCTGCACCCTGGCTTTCTCGAGCAGCACAGATCCTTCCACGACGCATCCAGATGAGTCCAAGAGCTGCCCGGCCCCGACCCTGAGTGCATTCTGTGCCCGTCGCTTCAATGTTGCCACCGTCTCATCCAAGGCTGCTTGCACAACGGCAGTCTGCCCACTGATCAGTCCCACTTCCACACGAATCGACATGTTGCGCACCGGCAATATTCAATCCCTCACTGTTTGCAGGCATTGAACATAAGGGATTTAAAGATGTTGCAGGATTAGGTTGGCAGTGCATGCTCTAGGCATGCAGACCCTTCTTAGCTGGTTGCATTCACTGCTCCAAATGATGAAGCTCTGACGGGAATCATGGTGAGAACAGGGCTACAATAATGAGTGGCCACCCTAAACCCTAAACCTTAAACCCTAAACCCTAAACCCTAAAACTTAGGATTCCTTCAAGGGCTCCTTAGAGCGTTACTATAGGGGGGCTTAGAGGGGAAGCTCTGTGTGAATACAAAATCGCATGAGTGTTGGGTAGGGGCTGGGGCCGGGGGGTCTCCTCAAGTACTATAGAAGCCTAAATAATCACCAATATTATTCCTTAGGTTCCTGATTATAAGTATACTTTAAAAGAGCCCAAAACCCTATTCTGACTAGTGAAGCCCCCTATATATACAGGAGCCCATAACCCTAGTCTAATTATTGAAGCCCCTATATTACAGACTGTTGGGCTTAGAATCTCGACCATGCTCTGGGCTTTGCAGCCAAGTCGGCCTGTGGGGTGAGGGTTTAGGGTTTAGGGTTTAGGGTTTAGGGTTTCGGGTTTAGGGTTTCGGGTTTAGGGGTGAGTGGAGGGTTTACGCATTTTATCCCCGATCAATGTCCAGTGGCATGGAACAACAGAGGCACCCAGGCAACCTCAAACTCTAAACTCTAAAACCCAAACGCGGCCCTGAGCTCAACGCTGGGTGTACTTTGGCTGAGCCCGCACAGGAGACAGTGACGCAGAGCAATGGAAGAAAGCTTTACCCCTTTGAATCAAGTGTCTACACGTGAAGAGCTTACTAAAACCCTAAGTAGACCCCACCAAGGCATTATCAAACGAACCCTAAACCCTAAACCAACATCAATAAACCGCACACAGCCCGACGACAACCCCCCTAAGACTTTCTTCATTACGCTAAATCGTAATCCGAAACCCGAAGCTCTAACTCCCAAACCCTGAACCTTCGGGTTCAGGGTTTAGGGTTTAGGGTTTAGGGTTTAGGGCTTAGGGTTTAGGGTTTAGGGCTTAGAGCCTGAACCGTCAGCGAGTCTCCTTGAGGCCCTGACGCACCCTTAAAGAAGTCAGGCAAAACGACGAGATAGCCCTGGCTCGGTGTCTGTCTGGTGCTTAGTAGGGAATGGGGGAATGGATCCCTATGATAGTCCCTTAAGGTCCCTTATAGCAGTCCCTATGACCCAGTCCCCCATTCCCTACTAAGCACCAGACAGGTGTGTGGATCTGTCTTTCTGTTCAGGCTTCGCTTGTGTTGTAATTTAGGTTTTTTGGGCTTAAAGGGTTAAGGGTTTAGGGTTTAGGGTTTAGGGTTTAGGTTTAGGGTTTAGGGTTTAGGGTTAACAGGGTTTAAAGGGTTTAGGGTTTAGGCGTTGCCTGTTTTGCACAACATCTGCATTGGGCCAGAGGCAAGGGATCAGGGTGTAAGGGTTGTTTGCGTGTAAGGCATCATGGTATTTCTGGCTTCTACACAGGCTTATAAGTTTAGGTGCGTTGGGGCTTAGAAGCGTCAGGGTCGACGTTGAGAGATAGTTTGGGAGTCATAGACAACCCTAAACCCTAAACCCTAAACCCTAAACCCTAAACCCTAAACCCTAAACCCTAAACCATTCTGGTCGCAAAAAGTAGGGCTTCGGATTCGAGGTCCACGGGTTTAGGGTTTAGGGTTTAGGGTTTAGGGTTTAGGGTTTAGGATTTAGGGTTTAGCTCAGACTTGGTTTTCAAAGGAGGTGTGTGGGTAGGGTATGAGGATGTATGAGGTGTGGGGCTAGACCCAGGGTCCGGGTTTAGGGTTTAGGGTTTGGTGCCATTTATACTCAAGTCTTTGGGTTGTCTCTAAACCCTGCACCCTACATGGCGCCTTCAACAACAGGAGCGCTACGATGGGTATCACCCTAAACCCTTAAACATCCTGAAACCCTAAACCCTAAACCCTAGACCTTACACCCTAAACCTTAAACCTTAAACCCTAAACCCTAAACCCTAAACCTTAAACCCTAAACCTTAAACCCTAAACCCTAAACCTGATCGACTCTGCTTCTCAAATCTCGCCTCGTCTGCAAGGGAATCGCAAATCTCCTGCCAAGGCGCAAAAGGCCGCGGGCCTCTAGGGTTTGGGGTTCTTTAGGGTTTAGGGTTTCGGAGTTTAGGGTTTAGGGTTGAGGGTTTAGGGTTTCGGGTTTAGGGTTCTCTAGGGTTTACAGTTTAGGGTTGTAGGGTTTTAGGATTTAGGGCTTAGGGGGTTAAGGGATTTAGGGTTGTTTCGGGTTTTGGGTTCTTTAGGCTTTGCGGTTTAGGGTTCAAGGCCTAACGGGGTTTAGGCTTAGGGGGCTTCGGGTTTAGGGTCGTCAGTCAAAACGGTTTCGGTGCGAGGGTACTGCTTCCGACTTGCTTGTACAGTCTCCTATGGGATTAGACGTATATAACCTGCTGCGATTGTGCGGGGATTAATCCCTAAACCCTAAACCCTAAACCCTGAACCCTAAACCCTAAACCCTAAACCCTAAACCCTAAACCCTAAACCCTAAACTACTCACACTATCCCCCAAAAGCTGGCCCAGCTTCCTACTCGCCTGCTAGGTACACCGCTGCACAGAACCTAAAGGACGAAACGAACCCTAAAAGGGTTTAAGGTTTAGGGTTTAGGGTTTAGGGCTTAGGGTCTAGGGTTTAGGGTTTAGGGTTTAGGGTTTAGGGTTTAAGGTTCATGTACCACAATATATAGGGATTCATAGTATAAGGGTAAAGGGTCCCGAGTTTTAAGGGTCTTTTGGTCCTTAAGGAAGATGCAAGTTGGAAGTGAAGACTGCAAATCCGAATCAGCATTTCAAGGTTTGGAGTTTACCTTAAGAACCCCAAAACCCATATTTCTGCAGGTTATTGTTATAAGATCCCTTATAGGATTCTTAGGTAACCTACAAACAAGTAAGTTTGGGGTTCTTAAGGTATATGATTTACATATCCGTGGCCTCATGGACCCCTACAAGAACCCTCAAAACCCCATGAAGCAACATAAAACTCTGTAAGGTCCATGCCACCGAAATCACAGGAAGCTGAGGCAGGCAAACACTCTGACATGAATCCCAAACTGTAGGAACCCCTGTCTTCAAGAAAGCCCGCTACTATCAGATTCATACGCTAGCAGGCTTCTGGCGCCCAGCTTGTCAAACTTTAACCCTAAACTGGTGGTTTAGGGCTTAGGGTTTAGGGTTTAGGGTCTAGGGTCTAGGGTTTAGGGTTTAGGGTTTCGGGTTTAGAGTGGCCCTAAACCTTTGTAGAGCCGCCCAGGTCCTTGTTTCGGCC